TAGATTACCATTACAGTATTCAGTCTTCTATTTTTCCCAAAAAAGCAAAGCAGAGAAACCCGCCCTTTGCAAGGTAAAAAGATATAGTGTATGAACACAGATGTAGCTATTTATAGGTCTACATACTTAAAATTTCACTTAAAATTTCCCATTGAGAGCCATAAATGCAAAAAAATTGATGGAAGGTGTCAAGATCAGACGGCTAAGTTGGAAATTTCAGTTTAAGTAACTACTTTAAGGAAGAAAGGAATGAACTAGTAACGGCCAGTATTTCATGTGTTTATTTGCCATAACATTATAGGGTAAGGAGTTAGATGGCAGCAGGAGTTGATATTCATGCGAGAACAGAGCTGCACTATTATCAGCAGAAATATTATTTAAATTTCTAAAACCTGCTGCTTTTCAAATTTGAAGGAAATAAACAAAGATAGAGAAACATACGTTGCAGTCAGGCAGGGCACCATCTCACTCATAGAAATAGCAGCCTATTGTAAAAGCCACAATAACAGTTTCTGGAAAAAATATTTTTAGTAATAATACTAAGCAATTCCTGCCTCCACTTCTCAGTCCTGCCCTCATAGTTCAGTGTTCCCTTAGATGTTCCTCAAGTTCTGCCTGGGGATCCACGAACCAGATCAGCAAACTGGTTCCCATGAAAAGAGTACTTCAAAAAATCAGATCATTCTTACTACGAATTAGGTCTGTCCTGGGTTCAGCTGTAATGGTTATTTTATTCCTTCCTAGCAGATGGTGCAGTGCTGTTTATAAACTGGCAGGAGCTACCCGGAAGGGCCAGATCGCTGCTCGGGTCCGACTGGGTATCAGTTGACGGATGGTGAGCAATTCCATTATGCATCACTTAGGTTTATTGTTTTCTTTCTTTTTTTTTTCCCTTCCTTTTTTAGTTTTATATTCTCTCTCCCTGTTATTTCCCTTGTCATTAGTAGTAGTAGTAGTAGTTTTACATTATACTGTAGTTATTGGATTGTTCTGATCTCAGCCCGAGGGGTTTACATTCTTTTGATTCTCCTCTCCATCCCACCTGAAGCAGGGTGCGGAAGAAAGGGAGCAGTGAGCAAGCAGCTGAGTGGTTCTGAGTTACAGGCTGCACTTAAACCAAGACAGTCCTTTTCACAACACAGCCCCAGAAGGACCCAGGCTCAAAAAACTGAAGGGACATGCATTGAAGTATGTGAGTGAAAGTCAGCAAAGTGAGGGCAGGCATAAGTACCTTAGGTCACTACACATTTATAAACTATGCCTTCCAAATGAAGGCTCAAAATGTAAGTAATTCTAATATTGTGCTCCTTTAGCCAAGGACCTGACACTAATTATTGTCACTGAATCAACAAACCTGAACTTCTGTTTCACTTTATTCCACAAAAAGGGCCTTATTCTTTCATGAAGACTGAAACACATTTCCAGCATTGTCCTGAGAATGGTGCTGATTATGACTAAGTTGATATAGAAGATAACCTCCTGCCTTCCACTGCAAGAGAAGGGATGGTAAGATGCACCAGGTCAGCTTTAGTCAGAGGGAGACATCTTGTCGTATATAGGGTATTACACAGTTAACCTACTGCCAAAGTTAATACACACTGCCAGAATATTTCCAAACACTGCATTAAAGAGAGCAAGATTTTAATCTGAAATGTGTCTTTGAGAACCATGAAATACTGAGTAGCTTCATGGACACTGTAATTCAAACCTGAAGCCTGTAAAATAGCAGGAAACCATACATCATGACAAAATGGAGGGTAGGATTACACAACACAAGGCTACAAAACTAACATTAAATACTGGGGCAGAGGTACACACAAATGAGATGTCCTCATACCTTGAACCACTTAAAGCCAAAATGGTTGACCTCATGCACTGATTCATTAAACAGCTTCAGACAGGCAGTAAAGTGGCAGAATGGTAGAAAACAAGATAAACAGAAGAGAGGAAAGAAAAAGCATGCAATTAAAAGCAAATTATAATACATTTGGACAACATTGACATTTGAAAATCACACATATCACTCATACTTGGTCTAGGAATGTTCCTAACCTATCGTTTGTTTATAAAAACCAAAGAATTAGCCATTAATATCATATGGAAAACAGAACTCTGCATTTTAAAACTGAAGCTATCTAAGGGTGTCTGTTACAACTCTACGAAGAGCCACCACAGAACATGATAAAACAAAGAGGGCATTCTTTTAAAGTAATTGAAGGAATATGAACTGAAAACCAGTTGAAGAAGTCTCTTCCTCACCTTGGAAAAAAAGCTGCTTGCCAGCACTTTATTACTTAACTGTATTTAACTGATAGCAAAACAAAATCCCAAAAGACAAATGGGGCACAGCAGCTCTCCTGGTGCAGGCTGGAACAAGACACTCCCGTTGCTTTTCCTTTGTGCTGTCTTATTGATCATATTTTAAAAACTATAACTGGTCAGAGCTGGTAGTTTAGTTCTGCTGGAGTAAGACACTGCTGTCAATCAGTAAAGGTACAGATGTTGACTTTTCCTTCTTCCAATACTGCTACTTTCAACCCATCCTTCTTTTTCCTCCTTCCTTCTGTATTGCAACATCCAAATTGTTTGTTTTTTTTTCCCCCACAGTGCTGTTGCCCATCATATTCCACCAATATTTTCCCACAAATCTTACTCCTCTTGGATCTCTTCCTCTCCTCTCAATCTCTCTCACTGATGCTTATGGCTTATTGAGCCTCAGACTCCACATTTCTTTGCCCTGCCTCATCTTTCAGATTGTACACCCAATCTGAACTCTCCATTCACCAGGTATTTCCCTTTCCACCAAGCTCTGACCATTTGACCTCACTGTGTGCCTCTCATCAGGCTTTGATGGTGTATTCTTTTGAAAAGTCTCCTTACTGCCAAATTTGAAATTTGTGCATATTCCCAAAGCATTGTTCTCTTCCCATATTCTTGTTTTAGGATGCCTCATGTATAAATAAAGCTTCACTTTTATAACAACAGTTCGCTGTTTTACTAACCCAGACTTATTTCTTCTATCCATATTAAACCTGCGGCTAACAGCTCACACTGGAGACATCTATGAGGAGCTCATGCTCAAGACAATAAAAAAGAGATCTCCTTTGCATCCTGTGACTGAATCTTCCTTACTAATTCATTTTTTTTCCATCTAGGACAGAACTTCCATATTTTTGTTAAACTTGATAGTATCTTTGACTCAAACTTCTTTAAACTTTATTTTTAAAGTCTTGTAGAATTTCTTTTATGGAATATCTCAAATATAAGACTTTTTTGACTGCATCTGTATTATTGAAGTTCATTGGTAGGATTTCTTCCGTGTTTGGACCTAAGCATAAATCATTCTTGTGCAGGTTGTGCCCATTTGTGAAGTAATCTCCTTGCCTGTAGCTTTGATCATGTTAATGCTACAAGCATACCTCTTTGCTAGTGAATCAAATGTAAGCTACCCATTCTTTGAAAACTGTACTCCACCCCCTTTTCACTTTTAATACTGAGATGACCTGTGACCATCCTCTAGTAAAGGCCCACATTATGTGTGCATAGAATTTGTAAATGTTCATCTTTGTGCTTACTTCCCTAACTTCAGATACTTCTAACCTTTACAAAATTAACACACTCTACCTTCTTCAAAAGTTCCCCCCCAAAAATTCATGAAGCCATATGCATCTTGTTCTGCATTTTTACCATAGACTTCAAAGAGTGAGTTCTATATGCTTCTAGGTGCTCAAAGAATACAGAAATGGCCACTTTGTCTTGTAACAAAGAAATTTAAACATTACGACATCCTAGGCACCAAATCACATACTATTTATTTTCGCATCTCAGCATAGAACCTTCTCCCTTGTGAGCTATGTATTTTCCTTTCAAGGAGATCTAACCTTTGATGTGTTATTTACTACCTGGTTAACTTCTCTGTTTCATGCAACTTTTTTAAAGGCTACAAGAACATTGGAAAGAAGGCATTCTTGAAAGTGAATTCCATAACACTGTCTAGGATCTCAGGGTACAGCAACCAGAATTATTCTCAGAATGACTATCAGTGAACAGCTGAGCCTGACTCTAGTCTAAAAAAGAAACAGTTGCTTTCTTCTTCCTGAAAATTGGATTATTACTAACACACTTACATCCTCTTTTTCATTGAAGTCTGTGATATATGTTGGGAAAAACCTCTTAAAATTGTTTAAAGTGCACTTAGTCAGAACTTCTTTTATTTAAATAACTAAGAGAAGATCATGCCATTGCAATGCAACTGCAACCGACCAAATGCTCCTGTTTGCTAATTATGGGCAAGTAAGGAAGAGTGAAAGATATTGAAGAGGCCCACAAAAAGCACAGTAAGAATGCTAAGTTCAGCCTCTCCTTTAAAAATTTTATCAAATTCTCATGGAATTTTATTCACTACTTGTGGTATGTTTTCTTAATGATTACTTACATGAGTTAAAATCAGGCACATATATGACCCTTCCGAGCATCTTGTCAGTGGCACAGAATCAGTTGATGCATAGAAGTTTATACCTGAGGCTTCAGCACACAAATATGTATTTTCTGTGTGTATGCTTGGCTCAAGCTAAGGGATCTGTCTCTTTATCCAGTTGTTTTGCAAGTGCAATGAGACCATGGTTCACAAACCCAACTATGCTAATAAAAATCATCATCTTAAAACACTTTCAATGAACAACACAGTGAACCTACGTAAGGATACACATAGGAAGATAGCTTTTACAGGCAAGGCAGATCAGAAGAGTTACTACTTAAAATAGTATTTTAAATCTCAGGATACCTTATATTTCTTTTTAACTTCAAGAAAATATTACCTATGAAATACAACTTATCATGAAGGCTTTGCAGACTTTTTGAGTTGTTACCTAATGTTGGAACAGTGATACAGGATTGTCAAACAAAACCATCTGTGTTTCATGGTAGAGTAGGGAAAATAGTACTTTACTGTCTGGTTACTTTCCTAAGAAGACTCCCAGTGACTTTATAAGATTGCAGACCTGTTTCTCAGCATTCATCCTGGCTGACTCCTCTTGTGCTAGCACCATTTCCCGCTCTGCAGTTATCTGAACACTTTCTCTGAGTGCCTCTTCCAATTCTTCAATCCGATCATCCTTTTTACGTAGATTGTCCTGGAAAATGACGGGAGACCAGGTGAAGATGGCTTGTTTGGAATCACAGCCTTTTAATCAACCATGTTTTATGCCAACCAAAATGTGTTTCTCCCTCCCAAGGTGCAACTGCAGGCAAATTATCTTCGCAGAGAGGAGAGAAAGATGAAGTGATGCAAGAGTAGGAGGAAGATTACAGCAAAGAGAAGAAGAAAGCTAGCAAAGCAGGACCTGAGAGAAAGAGCGCTTGCCCTCCATGTTGGATATACCAGAGTCCTCTCAGATTATACAGCATAGGGTTGTTGGTAAATAAAAATTAGTAAGCAGTTCCAAAGAAGCACAGAAGCCAGAATTCATGGGAACACAGCAGGCATTGCCCATTTGCTCACACATTCACAAGCAGGTGTGGTAAGAAGGGAAACATTTCACTGCAGTTTGGAATTTGCCATTTCCAAGTTAAGGGGAAGAAAAGTAAACACTAAACCAATAGTTTTCCATTGTTCGGATTAAGTCTTTAAGGAAGTTTTTAATCAAAAATTCTCTAAGAATTATGAAGGATTCATCTGGGCTGTCTGAATCTCAGACATTCAAGTATCAAGACTACCTTAAAATTTATTCTTTGATTAGAAGCATCTTCACAATTGCAAGTTCAGATGTCCCACATATATTCAAACAGTATGGAAGAAAACCGTATTGCTCCTCAGAAAACATACTGTTTTACTGGTTTATGTAACAGTGTAACTTAGAAAAAATATATACGAAATGGTATTTGTAAAGAAGATCCTCCTTACTTTAATACTGCTAGGAAAATAAATGTGTATCTCCTGCTTCTGCTGTAACAGCTTGGACAGAAGCCTACAAAGCAGGCTGTTCTGACATGTATATATGAATTGTCTTGGACCAATAGCTACTTAACAAATCTATCAGAAATGAGCAGCTTGATGGAAGACTTCTGCATTTCTTGACTTGCAGATTGGCTTAGATCATCGGATTCAGATGAGATATTAATGCATGTTTAAGTTACCACATGGGCTTTTTAGCCATCTCAGCAGTAGTGGAAGAATAAAAAATGTTTCTCTTTGTTTCTTGCATTTTGCTTTTTGTCAGATTTACCTCTCTCTTTGTCTTCTGACCTTTTGTATTTAGGATTGAAATTTTCCACTGTTTCTCTGAAAGTGTTTCACACCATATAAAGAATAAGGAAAAAGATGACTGACTTGGAAAAAAATTGACCTTGCAACCTTCATAATGCAAGAATTAGTCACTGGAGTTTAAAGAACGAACCTGACTTACTCCTTAATTCCTGCTTTCAAGAACTTAGGATATATCACCAAGGATACCTGTTATAGGAACACCATTTCTGGCAGTCTTAAAACTGCCACTTTCAATGAGAGTGCTCCAACAGAGATGCAAAGCTTTATATCAGACCAGTGCAAGACCCCTGGCACCACTGCCTTTGCACAGAGAAAGGACTGTATTCAACCACTAGCACAGGTGACAGTATTTGTTAGGCTTTGCAGGCATACTGATGGTTACTTTCCAAAATGGATTCACAGGGCAAGTAATTGCTGATTTCCAAAGAAACAAACCGAGATACAAATTTCTAAAATAGGAGTTGCAGAACATGTTTTAATACTATTTGAATCTTTCTGAAACACTGAGAATATCTTCCACAACTACTTTATGGTTATGAGTAGCTTAACTGAAGATTCATACAAAAGATGAATAACAAGTTTACAGAAAACCTCAGAATATTAACTGTTGCCAGACATGAATAACATTTACTTGCTTATCTGCATTACACAATAAATATTGATTGTGCCTCTTGATATATTATTCACAGATTGCCAAGTATGGAAGTGTAGCTCTCCACTTCAAACAACGGAAGTGGGAATGCTTCATTTGAACAGTTACATGTAAAATGGAAAGTGCTTTAAAATAAGATTGCAGAATAAAACATTCTAACACATAAGATAAGAGGTGAATTTGATATTGTATTAATACCATATAGTGCTCAATTCAGACACGTGAACTCTTGAAGGACAGGAGGAAGAGCAATTGGTGATACCAAAACTGATCAAGACAGTGACATATAAAATGCACTTGAAAAAAGAAATAAATCTATATTCATATAGAATTACTTTTCCTAAAATAATAGATGAACTTAAACATACATGGTAGATGGTTGCAAGTTAAAATACTCCAGTGTTGACTCCAACCAGCTACCTAGAAACAAGGATCTTTTATGTTCAGCCTAATACTAACAACCCACCCAATAAGCAGACATCAGTTACAAGTTTTCACTTTGTCTCAGACAAACCTAGTTAAAAGAGGTGCAAGTTTACTCTTGCAAAGGTGTCACCTTACAAAAGCATAGCGATGCGATGCCTGTCGGGAGTAGGAAATAGTTGCATGGCCAGGTAGCACCTCCACTGGTGCAGAATAGTTTCAAAGCTATTCTTTTAAATAATTGCTTTGTTTCCAGCTTTTTGATTCATAACTAATTGATTAGCATGTGAATTATTCTTCTTTAAAAGACAAACTGTTTCAATCAAAACATACTAATTAGAAAAAAACTAAATAAGAGTGAACCAGCATTTGCCTTTTAACATACCAGCATGTTTTTTCAGTTGTTTGGCTCTAACTCTCAAAACATGTCAGACTCACACTGACCTTCAACCCATGCTGCTGCTTTCCTCTTTTTAGTTACATGAAGTGTTCTATCTTTATTGGGATAAATATGCTTTAAACTCTGGAGAAAAACTTCTGTTAATTGTAACTACAGTTATGACAGCTTTTTTTCCTGCAGTGACTGATCCTCTGAAGCAGTGGACTAGAGTACAACTTGAGTTGCTTCATACATATATATATCAGAATGTGACACTGAGGGCAAATTTATCTTCCTGTATTTTGATAAAATTGTAGAATAATAAACACTGGCAGTCTCCTTTCATGAAGCTTACACAGAGAAAGAAAATAAATAAATATTACTTACCTGTACAGTAACTGGATTCTTGAAGATGTATTACCTAACCAAGTATCTCTGTCACCCTCCCTTCTTCTCCTCCCAAGTCCAATATGCATGAGATTGCACAGCAGAGATGGAATTAAACTGGGATAGAGGAGAGAGCCCTGCCTTTATGCTCACTGGTGGCAGCACAAAGAAAATGAAAACCCCATCTGATACTACAGGAGTGCCAAGAGTTCAGGAACAATAAAAATTTTTGCTACCTATCCTATGACCCCATAGCAAAACTCATTCCAATACGTCTGTCTGACTGCCTGAAAGGAATAGGAGGTGCGACTGACGCACATTTCTGGTCTTTTTCTTCCACTTCAGGAAGGAAGTGGTAGGATGTCCAAGTGATACATGTTAAAAGGATGTATCAGTTTAATCTATCCTGCATTCATGTGATGTGTAATCTGTCATGAAGTTCTATGGAAGTGCACGAAAGAAGATATATGTTTTCACCGAGGCGTTTAGGTTCAATTAAATCTGAGGTATCCTGGCAAACTTCTTCATAACTGGGTGTTTAACTAGACTCAGAAAGATTTTTATGGCCTAATTGCATTCTTTGAAATGGAATTAAGGTAGATTTCTTTAGTTAACTCTTGGGGAAGATTAGTAACAGTTTGAGAAGGCAGTGAAATGCTTAACTGCTAAAAATATTTCTAGGACTAACCAATCACATAGGCAGAGAAAGATCATTTTCATATAACCCTGTAATTAACGCACTCGCACATTTTAGCTGGGTGCTTTCATAAACCAGAAAGGAAGAACACAGTACTGGAAGCATTTCAAACTAGGAATAAATTATTTCTTAAACAGTGACATCATTACAACATTACAAGCACTTATTCCTATGAATTACTGCTCTTCATTATCATGTATTTCCTCAAAAAGCCACAACCCAGATAAAAACCCCAATGATAATGATCTCAGCCCATTCTAGATGGAATAAAACTCTCCCTAGAAAGAAAAATCCTGCTTTGTGAACTGACCTTCCACTAAGTGGAACCTGGGAACTCAGGACTGTCAGCTGCCTCAAGTACTACTTAAAGCTTCCTCCTGGATACAAACTGTCATTTAGTTATTGACACAACAAATTCTTCACCAACATTTGGAGGCAGGCCATCTACAAATGTTAGGAATTTTCTGGTTAAAAAACACAAGGACCTGATCTCTACAGATCTCTGCAGCTCTAAAGTGCATGCTGGCTGACTAATAGGAAAAATTTAAATCTTACCAAGTTTCTCCCATAAAGTTCCCTGGCTTCCTGTCTTTGCCCGTAACCAGCAGGGGCACCAAATGTGAAAAAGGAAAAATTGGTTCTGCTGTAGTCAGCTCATTACTGAGGACTTCTGGCTTGTCATCTTACGAGTCTACCAAAAGATGCCAAAACACTCTCACTAAATATGGAAGGTGGGTTTCTGCAGTGCTGGTTAAAGTACTGCACTGCTGAACCCAGAAGGAAAGATGTTGTACCAAAATGAGAAGGCTACTCTTCAGAAGATGCCAATTGATGAAAATAAATGGATTTGTTAATTAATCTCTACTTTTCTCTGAAAAATACTTGCAAAAACCTGCAGACCTTTTTAAAAAGGTCTTTAAGACCTTTAAGAGAATATACAATGTGAAGGTACTAAAAATTACAGTTTCATTTGATTTCAGAAGCAATCATAGGGCCTTAAAACTTAGGTGAGGCTTCTACATGCAGCTCTATCAACTACATGCAAAAGTCTCTGTACAAGAAGAACATGCCAAATTGGCACTTGTAAATACCTCTTACACTGATGAGACAATACTTCAACTTAATAGGTTTTCAAGAGTATACAGTGGGTAAATGTAGGCCATGGTACGTAACTTGAATGGTAGTTATCACAGAATCTAGCTCAAGAAGACTGTTTGGGGTCCCTGTGCAACTCATTCAAAGGACATGCCCATGGTGGATGGTTTCGCCCTCTGTATTCATTACCAGTTCCTGAAGAAAATGGCAATAAAATACCCCACAGCATGCTGT